TTACCCATGTCACCTTTGGTCTCATGTCTTCGGAATAGAAATCATCCTCTCGATCGACATTACTTTGTTCTTGGTACTCTTTATACTCACTAACATATTCTGCGGGTAGTATCGATATTACTCCGATTTGATGTTCATCCCAACTACCCTCATTTTTGTCATCGCCAAAGTCTCTTGCATATTGGCTCCCCATTGGTACATTATTCTCTTCAAAGTTTCTATAATTATTGAACCTTCCCCAATAAGGGATTCTCCCTCCTCTCCTCCAGGGCCTTCCTCGAAATCTCCTTTGGAATGTTGGAAATCCAATATTCGATCCTTCATCATATGAAAGTCTCTCGAAGACATCATTATTTTGAAGTCTGACCCTTCCTTCTCGAGAAGGATATATTTCTTTCCTAACCCATTGTTTCTGATTTCTACTAGCACCAGAACCAACAGATTTTTGTTGACTTTCCCCTATCGTTGCTTGGACTATTTGATCTACTTTATCATTGTCCCTTTTGTTTTGATTCTCGATTTTCTTTATCTGTCCTGCTCTGAAAGCTTTAGCGGCTGACTTGTCGAACACCGCACTGCATCGTGGACATAACGTCACATCTTCATCCTTTTCTTTCTTTCTGTTTAAAAACTCGACGAGAGAATCTTCTGATCGAGGATAGATCTCTCTCTCAAATTCTTTCTCGAACTCGCTTAAATCAAATTCTATATCTTCTTTTGACATGTCCATTCTGACATGTTTGGGATCAATGTCTTCAGTAACATCAACCATGCCTACAAAGGTCGGATTTGTCAATCGGACATCTTCAGCCATGCCCGTTTGGGATTCGATATACCCTACTTGAACCTCAAATGGACTCGTATCCACTTTCATTGACATCTCCTCGAACTTCAATCTCCCTTGGTCAATCGCATCTTGGATCGTGTTCCTGAAATGTATACAATTATTAGTCCAATGTCCATAAATATTATGAAATTTGCAATATTTTCGACCATTCCTTTGTTACTGCGAAGGCGGTTTATGATCATCACTCAACTTAATCTGTTTATCTTTCAATAAAATATCGAAGATTTTATCCGCCTTTGTTACATCAAAAGTATATGTTCGATTTGTCATTTTGTCTTTTACTTCATTTTTCTGTAGCAATTTACAAATGTATGGAGCTCCTACTTTAAGCTCTGCTATATTTACTTTCTTATCGACAGTTTCTTTAATATCTGTTTCTGCCTTGGGATCTTCCTCATATACATCATTTATATATGCTACTTTTTCTTTCTTCATAGGTTTCTCGAATTTCTTATACCTTTGTTTTTCATATTCAATTTGTTCCACTCTCCTCACTTTGTCGGCTAACTGAGCCATGTCATTCAATGGTAAATTAACTAACATTTTCCTAATCGAGAATTCTAAACCTGCAGAGGCCATTTTGACTAATTCATATTCAGGAATTTAAGTAAAGCATCTTGACTTCATTTGTCTAAATATATTCAAATAATCATCTATGCTTTCATGATTATATCTCTTTATGTTCATTAAGTCGATGAGACTTACTTGAGTCTCCCCCCTAAAGAATTGCTCATGAAAATTTCTTTCCAATTGCAACCAATTATATATCGAATATCGAATTGGGTGGCAATGAAGTAAACCAAGTGAAAGCATTCTTAGTTAATGAACTAGGGAAATATTTCATTTTTAATTCTTCATTCATCGCTAGGTCCCCACATTCGATCTGATATCGTGCCACATGTTCGATAGTGGACTCACCAATTTTTCCAACAAACTTGGTGAATTTAGGTATTTTGTATCCTCGAGGTAACTCTGTCTCGAGAATCGTATTTGGAAAAGGAGAAACAAAATATGGTTGATTGGGTGACCTTAATTCCACTCCTTGGGGATTCATCCTTTGTCCTAGCATGTGATTATACTGCATGTTATTATACACATTTTGAAATCCTTCATTCAAATTTCCGTAAATATCATTCCTCACCTGTTGATATTCATTCCCCATATGCTGATGTTGATCATTGTTTCGATTTGTCCTTAATAAATAAGGGGGATTGATATTAGCATTCTGGTTAAGGTTCTGATTGGCATGATTTTCCACTCTTGTTTGTCGAGGTATAGCCAATGCATCCCCGATACGTGACATTTGGTCTGCTAGTATTTCGAAACTAGTGGTAGTGTTTTGCACTAATGGATTTAATATTGTAGTCAACTGTTGTGATAACATGTTAACCATCTCAAAATTGCTTTCATCCATTTGTTGTCTAAGTACTCCTAATGAGTTACTGAAGATTCCAGTACTAGCGTTTTCGATAGTCTCAAGATTGGATCGATGATAATCTCTATCGAATGTATATCTCCCATGATCCAGATTTGCTCTGTGATCTAGATTTGGAGGTGTCTGTTGTGTACCTAAATTCTGCACACTCCCTGAATTCTGGGGGGTTACTAAATTTTGAGATGCCCCTAAATTTGGAGATACTCCAAAGTTTTGTGGCATACCTAAAGTTTGAAATGTACCTAAGTTTTGAGGCATTCCTAAGTTAAATCTCGAACTTCGTTGTATTGAAGAGGTACCAGCCCCATTCATATTATTAAGCGAAAAACCAGGCGGCCTTACGCTCATATACGACCCTGCATATGTTGTTATAGGGTTTCCCATAGTTTGCATATTGTTCGATATCGCAGTACTAGACCCTACTTGAGTGTTTGCTAATGCACTTGAACTTGTTCATTACTCACAGGTATCGACATACTCGCAGTCGTCGATATTACAGACATATTCCCATTATGACCTTGCCCCCCAGTGTTTGGTGGATGTGAACCATTTAGAACCTCACTGTTACTTTGATTATTTGGTGGATGACTCATTCTTATTACTCGCCCACTCCTTAATCTCATACACTTTCGAACTAACCAATTTTGTGTTTTTCGACACAAGACCCCCTACCTGGCGCGCCAATTTGTTTCTGGTAAAAATTTGATTGATTTTGATTTATGAGGAGTTGAGCCCTAATCAAATCTCGACCATGTAGATTCTTTTTACTTAGGCGAGCAACTAGTTTTCAATTGAAAAGTGCATGAGAATCGAGAATCTCATGAATGCAAACAACATTATTTAAAGTGCAAATCGAAAGTACTATTTTTGGTATTTTTTATTAAGTAACGCGAAGTAAAGAAAGCAGTAAAATTGTTGAATCGAAAAGCAGTGCAAAATATTAAATTGCAGGAATGTAAAAAATGCGGAGACCTCAAATTTGCATTAAGTGTAAATGACAAAGAATCGAAAATTGCAGAGTTTTAAATAAGCGGGAAATCAAAATTGCAGAAATGTAAATAGCAGGAAGTCGAAATCGTAGAAATGTAAATAACAGAGAACTTAAACGCAGAACCTCAACTTAAAAGTAAAATAACAAGGAATTGAAGGTGCAGAAACTTAAAGTTGCTAAACATAAACTTGCATCAAATTAAGTTGTATAAACATAAATTACCAGGGAAAGTACAAAAAGCGATAAAGACAATCAATGAAAATGGAAATCCAGATCGCCAAAAATTTCATGATTTCGTCGTTCTCCGGTAGACTTTTTCACTAGTGTTTCAGTTCTCTCTGCCAATTTCCCCTTTTTTTTTCAGTCTTCGCTCTATTTATAGAGCATCCTTCAAGTAACCTCCTAAGAGTGGTTAATAAAATTGTCACCACGATCCTACGTGCACGTATCTTCAGTCTTACAGTAAAAAACTGCATTCCATGTTCTCACGCATAAGAGAACTGCTCCCTTGATCTTCGATCCGAGCCACGGTTTCGAACCGTTTCCGTGTCCCCTGTATGTGTTAACCGCTCCCTTGATCTCGATTTCGGACATCGAGTATTTTGAATTTTGCTTTTGATTCCCTTTAATTCTTAACTTTGCACTATTCTAATATCTCGATTCTCTTCAACAATAGACATCGAAATTTGTTTCTTCGATTCTCGATTTTGATTTTCGATGTGTTTTTATCTTTGTGGTTATCAGGTGTCTTTTACCAATTTTATCGAGTTTTTAACCAATCATATGATCTTCGATTTTTTCTTTCCTTCGTTTTTCGATCTTTTTAACGATTTCCCACTAACAAGTATAAAATAAATTTAAATAATATTATTTTTTTAAATAATTTAAATAAATAAAAAAATTATAAATTTTAATTTTAAATAATTCTTTAATAATAATTTTTTTACCAAAAAAATTATTTTGATAGTTTTAATTTTAAAAAATATTAAATGAAAGTTATTATTAGTTTATGAAGAATATCCGAATTGAATACTATCAGATTCATACCCCGTTTAAAAAAAAATTAAAATATTTATATCTATTAGTAATCAAAAAGTGATAATAAAAAAAAGAAATCTAGTACACGTTAATTATTAACTAGTTAAAAATATTAAACAAGAAGTTGAGATAAGTCTCAATAATTCGGAGATATTCACAATTTTTTTTTATGATGTTTTGAAATTTAAATTATGAAATTATACTGTTTTGAGTTTTATTTATTATTTAATGAAATATTATGAAAAAAAAAGATTGAAGTTGTGAAATTATATTAAACATGAGTCAATAGGAACAAACATCTTAGTAGTTTTTTTTTCACAAAATTAGGAAGCAGTTAAAAGTATGGGTAACTAACATTGAGAAGTAGAAGTAGTTAAGACTGTAATGGTGTTCACCATGTTTGATGTTTGGATTAGAAGATATTAATTGATAAATAAATAAAGCAGAGTAGCATCAGTGGTAATTGAGGCAAACATGGAGGTAGAAAAGGAGAGGGTAGCTTAGATTCATAAAGTGAGGAGAGAGAAAAGAATGGCCGTTTGAAGTTTGAAGTTTGAAGTTTGAAGTTTAAAGATAGAAAGCATCAAAACAAAACCAAATTCAATGCAACCCAACAAAACTCATTAACTCCCATTCATCCATCCTCAAATTTAAAAAAACTCCCTCATTTCCAAGGCGGAAGAGAGAGAATGACCGGAGTGGTCATGGTTACCAAGGGCGGTGGATGCGGCGGCGGTGGGAAGCGGTCGAGAACTGCGCGAACTGCTGAGGAAGAAGAAGAGCAGCAGAACCAGCTCTCCCTCGTGGCGTTTCTCTTGGCGGCCATCAGAAAATCGATGGTTTCGTGCAGGGTGGACCCACCTGACGATGTAATCTCCACCGTCCATCACATGGAGATCGGATGGCCAACGAACGTTCAGCACATCACTCATGTCACCTTCGACCGCTTCAACGGTTTCCTCGGTCTTCCTTACGAATTCCAAGTTGAGATCCCTGCCAGGGTCCCCAGTGCTAGGTAACCACTTCTCTTCTTTCTAAAAATCTCATTTTGTTTCCGTGGGATATTTTTTTAGTTAAATTTCAAATGGGTTTTGTTTGAAATGTTGAAAGTTTTTTTTTTTTTTTTGCTTGGAAGAACTTTTGGTGTGTGTGTCTGTATGGAAAAGAAAAAAAAGTGTAAGACTTTCATGAAGGGTAGTGAAGATGATGCTGTGACCATATGTGTCTATTCTAATGAGTGCGTGCTTCAAATGTAGAGTCTTGGCTTAGGTATGTAGTTGCAAAATGGGGAACTTCACATTGTTTGGGATTTGGGGCATATGTTGGTTTAAATGCTTGGTTAGGCGCGGGATGAATATAGATTGGGATCAAGTTTCTTTCAAATAGTTGTATATGGAATCCCTAGGTCCTAGTTAGTCACGGAATGAGCTATTCAATCTTATTTAGAGTTTCTTATTTTACCTTTCTGTTGCTGTTACATTTTACAGAAGTTAGAATCTAGCCTTGTTTTCTGACTTTTATTCTTCGGTGGACCTAATCTTGCAGGGTATTTATTTCCTTTCTTTTTTGCTTTTTTTTTTTCATGTTTGTAGCATCATGTTAACTTGTGATTTCTTTTTCTCTATGCTTGCAGTGTCAGTGTGTTTGGCGTCTCAGCAGAATCTATGCAGTGTTCTTATGATTCTAAAGGAAACAGCGTCCCCACTATTCTCCTGCTAATGCAGGACCGTCTATACTCACAGGGAGGCTTAAAGGTACTTACTGTATGATATGTTTTATCATTTGTAACACCAAGCTTTTCCAAGCATGGAGTTTCAGATTAACTTTCTTTTTACTTTTTCTTTTCAGGCCGAGGGTATATTTCGCATAAACCCAGAAAATAGTCAAGAGGAGCATGTGAGGGACCAGTTGAATAGGGGCATTGTGCCTGATGACATCGATGTGCACTGCTTGGCGGGACTAATCAAAGCCTGGTTCCGAGAGCTACCTTCAGGAGTGCTAGATGGACTTTCCCCTGAGCAAGTTCTTCAATGCAACACAGAAGAAGAATGTGTTGAGCTTGTGAAGCAGCTAAAGCCAACTGAGTCTGCCTTACTCAGCTGGGCTATTGATCTCATGGCCGATGTTGTAGAAGACGAGGAACTTAACAAAATGAATGCAAGAAATATTGCAATGGTTTTTGCTCCAAACATGACTCAGGTATGCTCACATACTCGTTGTCTGTTAAAAATTTTAGTGTTTGCTTGATGTACTTCTAATTTGTTCTGTAAAAAAGTATTTTTTGGAAGAAGAGGAAATATTTTATTCAGAGATTATTAAACTTTTACTTATAGGCTCTGTACCATTGGGCTAAAGTGTAATACAAGATCCAAACAGGAACAGCATCCTAATCTTAGAATTAAACTAATGACCACGTTCCTTAAGCATATGATGAGAGGTTTGATCCCTGTGTACGAAAGAATATTTGTCGAACGAGATCAACCCCTTAAACCAAAAAAAATATAAATAACATAAATTCTTATAAATTAAACTATTCATCCTCAAACTGCAGATATTTAGGCATATTTCATCAGAATTTTATTCAAGATTATCCAGATATGTCGTTAAAAAGAAATATGTATCATTATCTTCATTCACATAAGAAATCTTGAGATTTCATTACCAAAACAAGCTGCCATTTTTGGCTTACAGCTAGTTATTCTACTCGTGTGCACATTAGAATTATGGGTACTTGAGAATGGTCTGTATTTTAATTCATCCTTTTTTTCTGGAGCAGATGTCTGATCCTCTAACTGCCCTGATGCATGCGGTTCAAGTGATGAACTTACTCAAGACACTTATCATGAAGACACTTCGAGAACGTGAAGAAACAGCGACAGGTGGCTATTCTCCCATGTCGTCTCATTCATCTGGTCGTCAATCTGAGGATGAATATGACAGTCAGCGAGAAATGGATACAAGTGGTGAATTGAGAGGCACCAAATCAGATTATGATGCTCACTATGGCCACAGCAGTGAAGGGGAGGCTGAATCTTTAAGCGGGATAGAGGAGTGCTTCTTGAAGCAGTTGGATGAGAACAATAAGGGATTCTCACAAGAACCTGCAGGCCATTTGGAGAAGTATGTTAGCACCAGAAGTTACTCTGCCTATAGCATGGAACCTTCTATATCTGTTACTGATAACAAAGCTGGGAAGTCCTGCTTGAGGACAAGTGTAGACACAAGTAGTTCATCAATAGGATGTACAAGCACCAAAGATGTGGAGATGGTGGATAAATTTGCTGAATCTATTTCACCTATGCCACTCCTTGCTTCTAGCTAAGAACTGCTTTTCTTTTGTACAAGTTTTTTAGTACCGTGTTTTCCAGATTTTGTCTCTACAATCAGCAGGTTTGCTTGTGTAAATTAATACATGGAGTAGGAACCCTTTTTTTTGTTGTGTATTGTGCACAGGTTATGTTCAGTTTAGGGCTGAATTTGACCTGATTCTGGATGTTCTTGTATTAGACAATTCTAATCATGACAAATGGGAGAGGAATGGGGTAAGGTGTAGCCAGGGCTTCAAATTTCAGGTTTTGTGAAATCAATGAATTCCTTTGGAATAGAATAGGGAGATAAATGCATGTGGTATGATCTAAATTTGATGGAATCCTTGTTCTGTGCATGTGATATGAATTTTTGTTCTGTGAAACATCAATGGGAACACTGTGAAGTGGCTCTCCCTGTTGACAAAATCAATTCATGAAGAAGGCCAACTCTTACTTTGTCACACCAACTTAAATCTACGTTGACCTTATATTACTCCGAAAAATGTTAGTGTTATCATATTTTTAATATTTGGTTTAATTGCACTTGTAATTCTTACCTCTCCTGCCTTTATTCTGAAATGTTACAGGTTTTTTATTTTATTTTTAAAATTTCATTACATTTTAAATTGTTCTTACACTTCTGAATTTCAATGAGATGTATTTAAAAGAATTGCTTGCGACAACTTTTAACCCCTATTATTAATGCATAAGCTTATATTTTTGTTAATGGTTATTTATCACTTGTCATAAATAGTTATTAATAGAGTTATTTCATAGTTAAAAGTTAACATTATATTGAAAATGATTATTTTAAAAACTTAGTCTTTTAATGTTAAAAATTATTAGTAATATGATTCATTAAAAATATGATAAAAGAACAAATTTTGAAACATTAGAAAAAGTTGGAGGAAAAAACAAGTTAAGTAATTTAACAACGTGAAGAGCACATCTTAAATTACAATATTTGTGGTATTTCATAATGTGTTCAAAACAATCTATTAAAAAAATAATTCAAAACTAAGTTAAAAAATAAAACTGATGAACATTACTTTTTATTAATTTTTTTTAATATACCTTTTTCTAAATAATACCATTTTGTTCAAATTTTGCACTAAAATAAAAACACAACAAATCAAACTATAATATTTTAAGTTTATAGTTAATTATATTCTAATAAATATATATGAGTAAGTCTCTTACAAATTGCATAATAGGGATTGTATTTTGTTTATAATATATTTATATTTGTCTTAAATTTATTAATAATTTTATATTATAATTTTTTAATTATGAAATTATGTAATTTATTTGTAAATGTAAGAAAATAAAAAAAATGAATATAATAATAATCATATAAATTTTTTTACAATAAAATATTAAAAAAAAAATATATATATATATATATATATATATATTTTAAATATATTTTATAATTTTATAATAAAAAATCATAAATTAGTTTAGTTTGGTTTAGATTTTATATTAAATTAACATTAAATCAAAGGATATTTAATTTATATGTTTGGTTTAAATAATAAAATATTAAATCAAATTGGCATAGGTTTGTGTTGATATCTTAACACTTAAAAACTAAGTTTTATATTAATGAATTATAACGATTAAATTTTCTTGATTTTGATTTTTTTTTATATTTTTAAAGATTGAAAAATAACTCTTAAAATATTATAACAATTATAAATATAGTCATAGAAATTCTACTAACTATTTTAAAAATATATTTAATAAATATTCAATCTTTATTAAACACTCATAACAAAATATTACTCAAAATTCTACCATCAATATATGATTTTAATTCCTAGAACTTAGTTTTTGAAACTTGTCTCTAAAAACATGAAGATATTAACAAATGTAGCAACTTGTTTTCAATTGATTCTTGAATAAAATAATGCGCGGTGAACGTGTGTTATATATGTTATTTAATGTTAGATTATATTTTTCTTATATGGTAAAAATTTATATTTACACCATTTTATTTCTCCCTAAAATATGTGAATATTTTTTTAACCAAATTATTTATTGGGTTATTAATAGTCAGAACATATTTTTATCTGTAAACACGATACAAAGTTTGTTGTTATATTTAACTCCATATTTCAAAATGTCTTAATGTATTTTTAACACCTTTTAGATGGATTTGACTTATTTAAAAAACTAATTTAAACAAATTGATAATATTACAATATTGAAATATATTTATTAAATTACTTAATAAATATATTTATTTCATAGTTATATTCGGAGGAAAAGTCAAAATTATATTTCTTAATATATAAAATATTTATACATACATATAACAAAAAAAAAGTTTATATATCATTGATTTTAGAGAAGTTGAAGTAAAATTTAATATTATAGGCTTTTCTAATGTTAGAATCATTATTTCCTAATATTATCACTAGACCTAAGTATATGGTGTTGAGTGTAGGAAACTTCTTACATTTGTATTTAGGTCAACACCTAGGGTTCTAGTTGCAGTCTCTTAGTCTTTTATGTCTCATTGTATCCGATTTTCCATTATAAATGAAGAAAGGGAGGGTCCCGTGAGCCCTTAAGATATTTTTTTTCTCTATTAATCTTAAGTTGGTATTAGAGCGGGTTGATCCCGCTCTGGTTTCTGTCTGGTCTTGTCCACCACCATTAGCCACAACTGTCTGTGACAGTCTAAGCTCAGTTTTATCACTATTTGAAGCTATCCTCTGCTCTATTGGATTGTCCAACATTGTCAAGCATCTTTCCGTCGTTGTCCGCCGCCTTTCGCCGTCAGCCACTGCAGTTTCGTCCAGACCACCAGATCTGGACTCCTCGCGACGTGCACTATCTCCGTCCGCTGCAGCCAGGCGCGTACAATCCATGTGTCGTCGTGCACTCGCCGAATCGTCACCGCGCCATCTCAGTAGCTTTCGCCCGAACCTCCTCTGTTTGTTTTGACCTTCCAAACTAAGTTTTGGTGAAGTCCAGAAATAAAAGTCGATCCCATGAGGAACAGTTTCACTGGAAATTCTAAATCATAAGCTTACTAAGTGGATTAACACAAAACTGGTTTTTCATAAAGATTTAGGTTGAAAATAAATGACAAAGAACTGTAAAGTGTTTTTAGAACATATCAAATAAAAGAACTTATGATTGATTTAATTCTTTTTCCCTCTTTTGTATAATGACTAGGTCAAATTAAGAACATCAATTAACATATCAATGTTGATGTCACCTACTTAAATTATTCTCATTGATTCTTCAGACATGAAATTCATAAGAAAACCTAATAAACGTCGATTCCTCATACATTTAATAGATTTCTCAGCATTAGGTTTAGGGTGTTAAGCAATTGATACATCCATTACCATTCCTAGCAATTAACGTAGCAAATATTCTTAACCTGATCTAGGGTTTGAAAATATATTTTCCAATACATCCCAAACATCAAAGATAAACATTAAAGAGCACAAAGGATAAGAATATCAACATCAAGAACATAGATTAATATCTCAAAATATCATGAGATACAAAAGAGTTCAAAGGAAGTGCACCCAATCCTAAGAGAATGAAGTTAGCCACTCATGATGACCATTACAATGTTCCAATGAAGATGAATTGAAGATTGGACGAAACTTGATCAGCTGCCGCGCCTTTCTTCTCAAAACCCCAAACTCCTCTTTCTCAAAACACATCTTATCCTTTTATAGAAAAATTTCGCGTCATTCGCTCAAGCAAAAATTTTCGCTTAAACGAGTATTGTTGATTTTTGCTCAAGCGAGAATTGTTCGCATGAGCGATTGAATTCCCGAGAGCTTTAACATATTTTCGCTCAAGCGAGCGTCTACCTCGCTCGAGCAAATCTTAGGCTGAAAATCTTCTTCCCATTTTCCACTTTTTCTTCAATTAACTTGAGCATTATGATCCTTGCTCTTGTACCCAAGTATTCTTCAAATTCATCCGACATTGGGAGAAAAATAGATTAGAATCAACATAATTCAAGTGGTTAAATAACAATTCAAAGCATAATTACATCAACTTTTTCCATTTAACACCACCTCACTAGCTTTCGCCCGAACCTCCTCTATTTGTTTTGACCTTCCAAACTAAGTTTTGGTGAAGTCCAGGCGTCCCCCTTTCGGAAATCTCCTTAGGGCTTTCAAAAATCTTCGCTGTTTTTTTTTGTATCTGCTCTCTGTTTTTGTCTTCTTGATCATAAATGGCAACTGGAAGTGCTGGAAGCGCTATTTCATTCTCTGGAAGTCCTTCCACTACTTCCGAGAAGCTAAACGGACAAAATTACCTCTCTTGGTCTGCTTCCGTCGAGATGTGATTTCTTGGGCAGGGACATCATGACCATCTTCAGAAAGACGGAAGCCATGTGCCTGAAGAAAAAGCCAAACAATGGAAGCAAACAGATTTTCAGTTGTGTGCCCTATTGTGGCAATCTGTGGAGCCAAGGCTTTTAATGTCTCTTAGGGCCTTTAAGACATGTCACTCTTTTTGGAAGAGGACTCAAAACATATATGTCAATGATATCCAACGCCTTTATGATTTGGCAAACAAGATGGCATCTTTGAAAATGACCAACCATGATATGATCTCCTTCATTAATGAAGCACAATCAGCCGTGGAAGACTTGTGGATGTTCTTGGAGGTCGACACTTCATATGAAATGAAGAAAAAGCTTGACAAATACTATATGGTGATGATTCTTCACGCTATACATCCAGACTTCAACCATATTAGAGATCAGCTTCTAACCTCTCATGAGGTCCCTTCCATGGACATCTTAATCCAATGCATGGTTTGTGTCCTAACACATGGAACTCTGGAAACTCCTGCTCTAGTAGAACCATCTATTATGGTCACCACTCGAGGAAGAGGAGGAGATGAAACTAGAGGAGGCGAACGTGGTGGTCGTGGGCGTCCTCAGTGCACATATTGCAAAAGGATGGGTCACACCTAGGAAAACTGTTACCCCTTACACGGTTTTCCATCCAAAATAGCCAATTTATCTCAGGCTGAAACAACTGAACCCAAGTTCATTAAGGACGAGTATCAAGAGTACCTGCAACTCAAGTCTAACAGCTTGACACAACCATCTCAAGCTCCAAGTTAGGCATGGCAACGGGCGGGGTGGGGCGGGTTTTGCCTCCCGATTCCCGCCCGACTTTTTAACCATCCCCGCGGGGTTAAAAATTAAGTCCCCATCCCCGTCCCCGCCTCGTCCCCGATCTATATTATTTTTAAAAAGATAATTACATTTATAATAAATTAATTTTATTATGTATTTTTTTATATATAAATAAATATTTATAATTTTATAATTTATAATTATTATTAATTAAATATACATTTTAATTTATTATATTTATATTAAAATATGTATGTAAAAAAATATTTAATTATTTTTTATTTATATATAGAGAGAGAATATTTATAACATTATTATTATTATTATTCAAATATTTGAATACTTATAACATTATTATTATAATACTTGTTTTCAAACATTTAATTATATATATAAGTTAATTCATTTTTAAGTTGTCATATAAAAATATAAGAAAATATTTAATAAGTTAATTCTTATTTAATTAGTTCGAAGTAATAAAATTTTAAATTATCAATTTCTTTTAATCCTTTAAAATACAATTATTTTATTAAGATAAAATTTGATATATGATAAATAAGAATAATAAGATAAAAAAATATGACATAATAAAATCTAATAAATATAAATTATAAATAAAATAATATTAGTTATTACTAGGATTTATGTAAAATATTTAAAAAAGGATAAAGAAAAACATTTACTTTGTGTTCATCAAATTGATTGAAAAGATTAAAAAAATAAATAAATTGATGGAAGAAATTAATGAAATATAAAAAATAGAAAGATAAGAGAGAATAATGTAATAAATTAATTGATATAAAATATTAAAAAAAACAAAAAAAATTAAAAGTGGGTAGAAGAAAAATAAAAATTGGTGAAATATTAAAAAAATAACCTTATATGTAATAGAAAAAGAAAAGAAAATACATTTAAAGTATTAATATTTTAAATTTTAAATTTAAATATAAAGTCGGGCGGGGATGAGGTCGGGGTCGGGGTGGGATTGCATTACCCATCCCCGCCCCGCCCGACTTTTAAAGTGGGAAAACCCGAACCCGTCCCAACCCCGCCCCGGTCAACTCGGGTTTTCCCCGTCAAACTCGGGGCGGGACAGTTCGGTCCCCACGGGTACATGTTTAATTGTCATTCCTACTCCAAGTACATCAACAACTTGCATCTCTCAATCCATGGAAAGTCACAATTCATGGGTAATTGATTTCGGTGCTTCTGACCACATCTCTGGTAATACCTTCTTGTTCTCAACCAACGACAAATCTTCTTGGGAGCTGAGGGGGGTTGTTGCCCCCCCAAAGTTTTGTAACTCCCATGTAATTTATGATTTTGGCCTCCCCCCAAACTTAATGAATATTTAATATATTTACTTGTATATTTACAATTTTATCCTCTTATCCCCTCCTCAGTTTTGTAACTCTTATAGAATTTATGATTTTGTCCCCCTCAAACTTAATGATCATTTAATATATTTAAGTATATATCTACAATTTTATCCTTTAATCCTTTCATCATCTTTCTTCCTTTTATATTTATTTATTATTTATCAATAATATATTACTTAGCCCCGCAAAATCAATACTCAAGATCTGCTACTTCGATAATAAATATTTTGTTATACAGGAGTGTGGTTCAGGGAGACAAATTGGAGAAGGATATGAAGCAGGAGGATTATATCATTTTTGGATCTCGTCCACGGATGTCATATGTTGCAGCCCCTAGTCCTAAAATGTTACAATATCGGCTTGACCACTCTCATCTGTCTAAGTTAAAAAAAATGTGTCTTGAACTTAGTAGTCTCCAGACCTTAGATTGTGCGTCATGTCAACTAGGCAAACATGTTAGATCTACCTTTCTTAAAAGGTCTCAATCAAAAGGTAATTCTATTTTTTCTATCATCCATTATGATATCTGGGGACCTAGTCATGTCTCATCTTTTGGTTTTAGGTATTTTATTACTTTTATTGATGAATTTTCGAGATGTAATTAGGTTTATCTTATGAAAGATCACTTTGAATTATTATCCATCTTCACATCCTTTTTAAATGAAATTAAGAATCAATTCGGGCAAGTGATCAAAATCTTGAGAAGTGACAATGCCAAGGAGTACTTTTCATATGCTTTTTCTGTCATTTTGAGTTCATATGGTATCTTGTATCAGTCAGTCCACTTGTCCTCATACGCTACAGTAAAATGGTATAGCAGAAAGGAAAAATAGACATTTGGTTGAAACTGTTCGTACTCTTTTGCTTAGTGCCCATATTACAATCCATCATTGGGGAGATGTCATCTTAACTGCATGTTTTCTTATTAATCGGATGTCAGCATCCTCTCTCAATCATAAAGTCCCTGTCTCCATTATGTTTCCAGATAATCCTCTTTTCCACATTTCTCCCTATGTTTTTGGTTGTGTATGTTTTGTTCATGACATGTCTCCAAGGTTAGACAAGCTTTTTGCTCGCTCTCTCAAATGTGTCTTCTTGGGTTATTCCCGTCTTTAGAAAGGGTATCGTTATTACTCTCCTGAAACAAAGAAATACTACATGTCTGCCAATGTCACATTCTTTGAACAGACCCCTTACTTCTCTCCATCTGTTCAAGATGTTCATGTTAGCAGGACCTCCCTATTCCAGTGGTTGAATACAATCTTTTCAATGTCTCTCTGTCAATCCTGGTCTAAGTCTTGATCAAAGTCCTCCTGGGCCATCATCTCCACCTATTCATACCTCCCAAACAGATAGTCCCGTTTTCCAAGAACATGGTGAATCCCTACTTCAGATACTTCTCCCTCGTCCCTTGATACCACGACTCCTGGTGAAGGTGATTCAGGCTGACTCATTGCTCTCAGAAAAGGTATTTGTTCCACTCGAAATCTACATCCCATTTATAATTTTCTTAGCTATCACAAATTATCGCCTTCTTATTGTTCCCTTTTATCTTCAGTATCTTCTGTTGTTGTTCCCAAGATTCTTGGACACAGTCATACTTGGAAGCTTGTGCCCCTCCCACCGGGTAATAAGGTTGTTGGTTGCCGATGGATGTGTGCAGTTAAAGTTGGCCCTGATGGTCAAGTTGATCAACTCAAAGGTCGATTGGTTGCAAAATGATACACTCAGGTTTATAACACTACTAGAAATCCCCATATTTTATGAGAATATTTTGTTATAAACGTTGCAAGAAATAAATTTTTTACAAATTTAAATAATTTTTGACAAGAAAAATTGTAAAAAATAACTAATATTTTAGTAAAGAAAATTATAGTTTATTTTTAAGATTACATTAATTTATTTTGTTATGGTTTAAAACATAAGAATATGAATAGAAATATATATTTTTTAGAATAAAGGAAATGTTATTTAATATAAAAATTTAAATATAAAAACATATATATGTTATTATTGTGAAATCGTTTTGAAAGTTATTACAATCACACGTGTAGAAGAAGAATAAAGTATTTTTTTTAAATAGCACATATTGAATCAGTTATTTGTAATATACATATTTTCTATATTAATTATAAAAACAAGCAACGTAGTATACTTCTTTTTACATCGATTTAGAATGAATGTTGAAAGTTACAATTTTCTATATTAGTTTCATTTATGAAGATTCTATAACGAAAATAAACCAATAGATAATACGTAAATTAATATAAAAACACAGTGACATATAAGTCCATCATTAGGACAAAGGTATCCTAACCACACGATCCATGAAAAATGTTGTCATAAAAATTCTCATTAAGATCTTGCGTGGATTCCTTCTCAACTAACTATCCTTCACAATCGATAGGGGCCTCTACCCATTTGTAGCAACAAAAGTTTGCAGCCTCCAAATCCCTAATTAAATCAAACCATGCCTTTTAGTTACTTCTAGTTTTTAATTACCTAACGCATTTATGGTATGTTAGACAATAATTTATAAGAAAGACTTCTTCTATAAAATTGTCTTACACATGCTTTTCGCATACATCATAAGTTACTCTAATTATATTATATATAAATTAATTTATGCATAAATAATTGTAATTCATCAAGTTTTATATTAAAACAAAAAAAAACTTTAATCAACCTGCAACACGATTGGGCGCTCAAACTTCAAAGGAGCATTTAAAAAATATTAGAAACTAAATAGATCTATTTTAACCAACCACCATCGAATAATCTAAAAAGTTAGCAGGTTTATTTTACCAAACTAGCATGTGGGTTTTGATAAAAACAAATGATTATATGACACAAATTGACCTAAACCAATGTGCCCCTGGGAGCGAAAAGAATAAAAAAGAACCAGATAAATTCCGAAACACGGGTCAAACGTTGCAATGCAAACTCATATTTTACAGCAGCCAACGTCGAACAAGACAAATACATGTTTGCCCTGTCCCTTTCCTCCTACTAGCCCACCTGTATCTTCACCCCACGCCTCCTTCCCTTTTAATGGGTTGGTGCCGCAAAAATCATTTTTTAAATAAAAACGATATTCTAGTAAGTTTTCGTGTCTTTCACAACATGAAAAGAAGCAAACAATTCAGAGCAATATTCAATGCGCAATTAATAGTGCAGGGAAACAAACACAACCATCTTTTACTTCGTTAACATCTGAAAAAGGTTTTTCTTTTAAAACCTTGCATATCCTTCCGTTAAATATTTACATAACATTAGAAAATGGAAACTGTGATAATGTTGAACAAATATGGATGACTTACACGGGTGATTCAGAAAAAAGTTTCCAACAAATTAACAAACACAATCATCAAGATGCCAAGCAAGCTTCCCAGAACAGCCTGTTCTTTTCCATCTCATCCACAAACTCCTGGCTCGAATCAAAAGACACATAGGACTTCATGTGTTCTTCTTCCATCTCGTCATCTTCACAATATGACATTCCATAAACCCCACTTTTCTCATCCTCATCCACCTCTTTCTTCGAAATCTCATCACCTGGTTCATCCTCACAAGACTCATCGAATTCAGCAGCATCACAAGCACCAGATCCATCGTAGTTGCAAGATAGAGCGTCATCATTATCATCACAATGATGACCAGCACCACCATATGCTCGGGTCATTTCACAAGCAAAGATGGGATCATCACAATCAGCTTCTTCAGAATCACCGGAGGCTTCAAAACAAAAGTAAGAAGAGAAATCCAGAGGCTCCTTCCGCTCCATGCCGACCCCTGTAACAAAAGGAGACTTATTTCTTTGCTTTATCCTTCTGAGATTGATGTGTTGAGATTCTAATGAAAAAGGGCATCTCACACAGGAAAATAAGAAGAAAAAGGTGGGCTCTCTAGATTGACACTTTTGGTGACAGAGAGTGGCCAATCTTCAAAACGTTTGCCTCTCCAAAATGGGACTTGTCATTATGAAAAAGTGGAAGGTGGTGCCTCAAATAAGCTTGTGTTTGTTAAGTGTTTCGTGATGGTCTTCTAGAAGCATGCCGCATGCCCAAAAGCAATAGAAGACGATAAGGATTTCTTTTTCTTTTGTTTTGTACCCACTTCTAGAACAAACGCTCTACTATCTACGATTTAACGTCAAAGGAGGCTTATCTTCATCATGTATACGGAGCTGATTTAAATTGGTTGGCTGGTGTGCGTGATAGTGAAAGAGAACCCTGATATTCTAGAAGCTTTCTTGTTTTGTGGGCTTTGATGTGTCGTAGGTGTCTGTTAATGCATGAATGCGACCTAATATGTTTTAAAAGTATTTCATTACTAGTGAATTTCACAAGTGTCATATTTTTATTATTCTTAGAAAACGAAAAACATGCAATATTATTAATTCTTGGAAATTTAGAAGTATTGATAATTAAACCCTAAATATTTCTATTATTTTAATTTTTTAGTATATATATATATATATATATATATATATATAAACAACTTATAACTTTTTTTTATTAATCTTAAAATTTCTTATTATTATAATCTTGAAATCTTAATTATTTTATTAAAATTGAATTATAATGTGTTATGATAAACACCTTAAATCTAATATTCACGAAAAAGTTACGATTCTTCCAAAAATCATCTCCGATTGCATATAGTATATATATTTTCACAATGACTTATGAGTTATTTATATGTCTTATTATTATGATAATTAAACATATGTACATATATTTTTTTTCCCGAAAAGAGAAAAATCGGATTTTAAAAAATTGAGATAAGATTTATCTTGTCCTGATTTTATATTTAAATTTAAATCCTAAATTATTAATATTTATAAAATATTTTATTTTCTTTCTCATGTTATATATAAGATAATTTTTTATATTTCATGATTTTTATTTTTCTTTTATCTTATTTTTACTTTTTTGTCTTTTTCAATATTTTATATCAATATATTTATTATATTATTCTTTTTCTCTTTTCTTTTTTTTTCACATTTTTTAATCTCTTCAATAAATTTGATTTTTCTAATCTCTTCCACCAATCTAATAAATATAAGGTTAATTTTTCTTCTTGTAAACAATCTTAATAGTAATTAATATTATTTTATTTCTAATTTATCTTTATTAAATTTTATTATATTGTATTTTTTAAATTTTGTTATTCATATTTATTATATATTAAATTTTATCTTAATAAAATAATTATATTTTAAAAAATTAAAAATTTTATTATTTATTAAATATTTTCTTATAAACTATATATTTCATATTTATAAATATTTTAAGATAAAAATTTTAAAATAATTAACATATATATTCAAATATTTCAATACAATATTATAATATATAATAATAATAATATTATTATTATTATTAATATGTATTCAAATATTTGAATATAGTATTATAATATATAATAATAATAATAATAATATTATTATTATTATTATTATTATTATTATTATTATAAATGTTCTATATTTTTATAAAGAAAAACCAAATAAATATTTTTATATACATACGGTAATGTAAATATAATCAATTAAACTATATACTTAATTAATAATAATAATTAAAAATTATAAAAATTATTTAAATTAATTTATTATAAATATAATTATTTTGTAAAAATAATATAAAACCACGACCGGTCGAAATAGAGAACCAAAACTCAACGAAGATGAAACATAAAACTTAATTTCTAAACTTATAAGAATTAGGAGAAAAATAAAATAAAATAATGACGGAATCGGATAGACAAAATCCTATTATCCCGTTGTCATGCATATGTAATATTATGTAACTCTAGCTATTTTTCAATGTTACAATATTCATATTTTACTACCAAGTAAAGTTTTTTTGTTCAGATTCCCTTTACCTAACATATGTGTTACAAATACAAGTTTGATATTGAACTTGATTTAGTATCAAAATTAACTAAATCCTTTTGAGGAAACTCACTTTTTCTAGCACACAAATTTTTGTATCATTTAAACCTTATTCATCTCCAATGGGATCCATTGGCAAAATTCAGTAAACCTCTGTTTTGAGAATACTAAAATACATCAAAGGAAGCCCAATAGATTTGCTTAATCAAATATATAAACCCTTACTTGTTTCACTAGATTTGTTTGCTTGAATACCAGAAAGTTTGTTACTATTTTAGGTTTCTTCCTTAGTTTTTTCCTTGTATGATGGAAAAGAGAGAAACAATCAATTATTTCTAGATAATCACACTCTTTTACTTTTCTTATCATTGAAGAGTAATTAAATTATAAAATGTTTGAGTCAGAACATGCAAGTATATTTTGTCTTAATGAAATTGGTGGATGATTTGGATAAAGGAGAAGTTAGTCATATACTTTCGTGTTGGATACTGCAAGTGTAAAGCAAAGTTATGGGCTGCACCAAACTTAGTACAAAACCTCGGGCTACTTCCCTAAGACCTTTTTCACTTATTTACATATTACTTCATCATTGAAGCCAATAATAGAATCCAAAGCATAGACAAAAACATAGGTAATTATTAATTACACAACAAGTTATGTTATGACCCAACATACACATGTCAAGTGCAATTTTAAAACTATTTAAAAAAAATAATTTTATCATTATCACTCTTATATTATTCATCACATTTTTTTCTATTTTATTGTAATTTTAATTTCTTTTTCTCTATTTTTATAATTTCTTTTATTAGTTGACCCAAATCAACCCATTGGATAACTTGTTTTGTCACTTATAATCTAACCTAACTATAAAAAAAAGTCAAATTTAATTATAAGGACCACAAGACCCATGTTACTTGACTCTCCTAAGAGACCAATGAGCACCTCACTGTTAGACAAATGACATCTAGAGGAGGGGTGAATAGATGCACAAATTAAAATAGATGTCAAATTAAAAATTTATTTGTGAGTCAATAATTTGTTTAAACACAGATAAAGCGGAAGCGATAATATAATCAGGAAAAGAGAAAGAGATAAGGAAAAGAGAAAGAGATAAGGGAAAGAGAAGAGTACACAGAGATTTATACTGGTTCGGGTATAGTCAACCCTACATCCAGTTTCCAGTCAACTCTTAACACAAGAGTGACTCCCAATTCATTATCTTTCAAATTCAGTTTATAAATTACAATCAACTCAGCAGAAGAACCAGTAAAAAGTAAACTAATTAAAAAGACAATCACCTCCTTAGAAACTCACTAAGGATGAACACCTCCCTAGAATCTTACTAGGGATGAACACCTCCTCTGAACAAATCAAAGGATGAAAAACACCTCCTTAGAATCCCACTAAGGATGAACACATCCCTAGAATCACACTAGGGATGAACACCTCCTCTGAACAAATCAAAGGATGAACAAACACCTCCTTAGAATCCCACTAAGGATGAACACCTCCCTAGAATCACACTAGGGATGAAAGACACCTCCTTTTCCACCAATACAAAAAGGATGAAGGTAATAAAAATAAGAACAGTCACACCTGGGTAATGGAGACAACAAATTGTAGAAGCCTGTAGAATGTCAATCTCCAAGAACAAGTGTGATTAACAATGAAAGCACAGAAGACAGTAGAGAAGAGGGTTTTCTCAAAAGGTGTAAAATATCTCTGCTGCTTTGCTCAAAATTCTTTTCTCAAAACTGATTGAATGTAAATTATATTTTCGAATTCTATAATTGTGTTTTTGATTTTTCATCAAAACTTAATTAAATAGAAAAATAGCATCGAAAAATGGTCGTTGGATATTAATATTTTTATGAATAAAAATCGGGATATATTCAAAAATATTTATTTTTCAAAACAAATATATTTTTCAAATTTGAATTGTCATAATTGATTATGTTACCAATATAATCAATTGTGACAGAGAAAATCATTTTTCCATTTCTGATGCATCATAATTGATTATGACAGTGAAAAATATCACGTTATGAATTTTATCATACTTGTGTTTTGGAGGCTTGTGCATAATATTACTTCATCAACTTGTACCTCCATATCCAGTATTCTAAGACTCTATCTAGTCTTCAGGAATCATCTTGGGCTTGCTTGAATCATCATCTTTATCAAAAACATATCTTGGGCATGTAGGGAAATGTTTCACATTGTCACCAACGTCATAAATTCAGCTTGTCCTTAATTCATCTTGAATGGTGTTGGCTTAAATGTAGTTGACTTGAATCATCATCAAAATCATCTCTTGGGAATGTAGGGACATTTCCATCAATCTCCCCCTCATTGCTTTCAATCTCCCCCCTTTTGATGATGATCAAGGAAACACCTGAAATGAATTAAAATACTTGACTCTATATAGCCAGCTCAAGATTAGCACAATATAGTATGAAGTGTTAGAGTCTCTTAATCTCTCCCTGAATATATTAATAACAAGACTCCCCCTAACTCATATGAGCAAAGACTTCTCTTAACTCCCCTTGTTTAATTTAGAGATAGGAAAGAATTTCACACAGATTTTAATTCATAAAAAAATCTCCCACTGTTTCATTGATAAGCATAAAAAAATATTATAAGAGAAAAAAAATCTCCTCCCTGTTTCACACAGATTAATATCATCAAAATATCTTCCTATTTCATTGATAATTATGAAAAATATTATAAGAGAAAAAAAAATCTTCCCCTATTTCACACAGATTAATATCATCAAAATATCTCCCTGATTCATTGATAATTATGAAAAATATTGCAATAGAAACTGAGAACAAATTTGCACATATTAGTACATAAATCAAGGTAGAGAAGATAATGCATTA